CTCTGTCACCACTAGCGGGTTCCGAGTTGAATACTTTCAGAGCTGGAGCGTCGGTATCCGTCCGTTTACATAATGTAAATCAACCAGTTAAAATCTCGGGTTCACGGGGCTGCAATACCAGGATACCGGGATATGGAAAAGTGTCCGGTATCCCGAATCCCTAATGCCCTAATGCGTACAACATTTCCAACACACCTTTGTGGGCATGAAAAGTAAAAGTACACTCATACCTCTTTATACAGCATCTCATTTTACAGCGTTTCACTTCACAGCGTACATTACTTCGTTATACGGCTGAGGCGAAATCGGAGATTCACCGTTGTTGTGCGAGGAATCAGACAATACTGTTACGATTATCCTTGGAACCTCGTCTGGATTTCCCAAATCTCTCGGTTCGTATCGCTAGATTGTTAAATAAATGCTAACGATGACCAAATTGTAGTACAATTAACTTTATTGTACAACAAACAAATTACAATATTCGCTAATACAGTAAACAATACAATACTTGTTAAAGCAATAACAACGCTTTACTAAACTTGTTAACACAATTAAACTTATAGCCTGCTTATTCGGAACTCACTCCTTGGCTCAATTTACTTGTAGCTTGCTGACTTGTAACTCCCTCACTTCGCTGTGGCGGCGCCCTTATATACCTGCGCTCGCACTTATGGCAACTCTAGAGTGTTCTGAAGTTTATCGCTCATTCTCTTTCTATCGCTGTTCGCAGTGTTCACCCAACTTGACGTTTCTCTTTGTGGAACATTATACGTCATTCCTCGAACATTCTGCCTATTTCTCGTTGTTCGCTTCGCCTTGGCGCAGTATTCGTCACACTGTCCTCCACCTAAGTCTCATCGTCCCGATCAGACACACGTGCTGTTCCAAACGCTGCAAGCATTTCCAAGTGGACCACCTTCATCTTGTTTCTTGGTCTCCCAACGGTCTGGATCCGATACACCACGTCATTTAGCCGTTTTACGACCTTTTACGGACCTTCCCAGTTGCATTGTAGTTTTGGGGACAAACCTTTCTTCCGTTGTGGATTGTACAGCACCACCAAATCTCCTTCCTGGAAATCCTCGGAATTCATCGCCTTATCATACCTGGCTTTAATCTTGTCACTCATCATTTGCGTGTGCTGTCTCACAAGAGCATGTATCTCTCTCAGCTCCTCTTCCAGGATGTTTGACGTCTCTTTTCCAATTCTTCTAGCATCACCAGTCATCCCAAACTTCAGGTCACTAGGCAAACGGAGCTCACTGCCGAAGATTACCCTTGCAGGAGTTTTACCCGTTGTTTCATGCACTGCTGACCGGTATCCCATCAGGAACAAGGGTATGCGGACATCCGAATCTTTCTGATTTTTGTCCACGACCTTCCGCAAATGCTCCTCCAGGGTTCGGTTGAACCGTTCCACCATGCCATCTGATTGGGAATGAAGAGCCGTTGTTCGAGTTTTCCGGATACCCAGTATCTGGCACATCTCTTGGAACACCGCCGATTCAAAATTTCTTCCCTGGTCAGAGTGCAGCTCTATAGGTACACCGTATCTCGCAACCCAATTGTAGGTGAATACCTCCGCTACTGTTTTAGCTTCCTGGTTTGGAATCGGGTATACCTCCGGCCATTTGCTAAAGTAGTCCATAACCACAAGGACGTATTTGTTTCCCTGTGCGCTCATAGGAAATGGACCGGCTACATCCATGGCAATCCGCTCGAAAGGTGCACCTGAGTTATATTGCTTCATCTGGCCATGACTTCTGGATTTCGGCCCCTTAGCTGCAATACACTCCGCGCAGTTAGCAATCCACTCTGCGACCGATTGCCGACAACCAACCCAATAGAACCTCTGCTTAACCTTCTCCAGGGTCTTCGTGATTCCCAGGTGCCCTCCACTAGGACCATTGTGGAATTCCTTGAGTACATCCGGAATTCTTACCCTTGGAACTACTATCAGGTTGCGGGAGCACTGGCCATCTTCG